ACCCTCTCTACACAAATCTGTGTTAGGTCTGCAAAGTTCGGCTAGGGTTTTTGACTCAAATACGTTTTGGTCTACGCGAGAATTTGGCTTTTGGATTTAAGGACTTGCGAACATCATCTCTAGAATCAGTTTTTCATAAGGAATCTGAAAATATTAGCTCCAGAGTTACATGACTAAAGCGAAAAAAGTTATGACGTTTTTCCCGAAAACAAAAAAGTTTGGGGTTTTTGCAACATTCTCCGTAATCGGAGTTTTCTCCCTGAAGATGCAGTTCAATAGAAGTAAAAACGTGAGATTCGTGATCAGCTCGATGAGATGAATCAGAATATGTATGATTAACTCAAAAAAGAAGTTTGCTTGAAGTTTGACTTACGGGCAATTGGTATTTTTTAAAAAACCTTTTATACTTTTATTTTTCGAAGGTCTGTTCCGATTTGAATGGCATACCAGTGTAGTGAAGAGACTAAAAAGTTTTTTAACGAGAAAAGTTCATCGTTAATATTTATAACCGAATCGTCATTAGTTTTTGAAAAAAGACAATTTCATCATTGATCCAAATTCGGAAGGTTTCATCACAAGTCCAAATTCTTAGTGCACTATTTTATGATATTAAATGATATATGAAAATCAATCAAGTGTAGCAACATTATCTACCGAACACATACACGATGTTTGTCAAAAACTAATTACAAAATTGTTCAAACGTGAGAGACTATATTCGGATCAACATCAATTTATTTCACAGAATCAATGTTTTGGTTAACAAATATTGTTTTTCAATACATTTTATGGAGAAGTTTAGAATGAGGTATATTTTATTAAAACTTCACATCTACAGTTCTCTTCATATTAGCCGTTATTTGTTAAGTTAGATAGAAAAGCGTATTACTTATTCTGGATTTGTATCGACTATGTTTAATTTTAGCTCTATTATGTTGGTAACCAATGTGGGACACTGGTTTAGACGTACAAAAGGTGTCCGTCTTATATCGGGACTCACATTGTCTGGACAGATCTCGTGCAGTGGGTCTCTCTATTTTAGACGATTTAAATTGTTTTTCACACATGAATGAAATGATTTAATGTCAGATGATGAAACAAAATTAATATTTATTTCGTTGTTTAGTTTTATCTCCTTATCTGTGAAGTATTTTCAAAAATAACTTTTTAGACAAAGAAGTCTATTTTTATCAGACTTTTTTGTCAAATAAATTAGTCTGATATTTTTGATAATTAATGCACTGTAGTGTGGTTAAAATCGATCGGCAATAGAAATCTAATTTTTTTTTATGTACGTCGAATATCACGTGACAAAGGTCGTTGTGCTTTCTCTAGTCAAAAGAAAAGAGAAGATTTTTCCTAGTCATGTCCTGTTTAACTCGGATGTACTCAGTTTTAACTCAATGTCTTTGCTTTTGTACTATGAGTATGTATAGAATATATATAGAATATCAAATAGCAAATGATGCATGTTACTACTTAAGTACAGCCCTTCATAACACATTGCATTTTAAAAAATTTCCACATTCTGTTATGTTTAATATGGTGACTATATTTGATAATTTGCTTCTAAAACACTCAATCGTCTCATTTCATATGATTGAAAGATCCATAAGAGCTATGGTCTACATTTTAAGTAGAAGGGGATTGTGTTAAGACTTAATAATAGAAACGTGATAAAGTTTTTCTTGGACTTTAGATACATTATCGTTTGACGATGCATTTTATGGTATTGTATCCACTCTATTTTTGTGATATTCTAAGTACTTCCTATTATCTGATGTTTGCCATTCTGTGATAATAATGTTTAGTGTTTATGTTAATGTAGTTATTTTAATAATTATATCCTTTTTTATACTAAGAGAAATACCAGTCACTGCCCATTATCCAGAATTTATTGTTGTGATCAGCAATTATCTCTAGTGGTTTTTGGAACTTTTCTATGCGTCATGTTACAGATCACAAGTTCAATAACTCATAACATTGATGAAGCAGCAAAATCCTACGCTCAAACCTAATTAGCTGTTATTATTGATAATTCGTTAAGAGTTTTTGTTGAATTACGTGACAAAAATTTGTCCTTTGTCGACAGATAAAAGAAAAGTAGAGTGATGAATATAACACTTCTAGAACGGGACAAACGCCTAACTGTGTTTGTTACAAATCTTATTCTAAGACAACATGTTCATGTCGTTTCAACGGATAGAGTAAAACACGACAGATATGCTCTGTAGTAGTACTACTGCTTTATATCCAAGAAATTGTCCCTCATGTTTGTTCTTCTCAACTCGACAACTGCTTGTATCTGCGAGCTTCTCTTATTTCATCTATGGTTTTCTTATTTTGTTTTATTTTTGTAGCATTAAAATTGTATTTATGATGATATTTACTTGTTTAACTTAATTTCTGGAATAATCAAACGATAGATAAAAAAAAATTGTTTTAGTTTGCCTTTATTATTCTGACAATTATTTTATAGTTTTTAAATGTATTATGATTAATTATCGTTCTCTAAATTTATAAATAACAAAAATTAATTAAAAATGTTTTCTATCAAGTAAATAAGAATAAAATTCATCGTAAGTTCAATTTTCTCGTCATTATATGGAATCATTAATTAGTATCAAATTTTGTTATATATTATATTCTTAAAATAGTACGATAATATGCTGTTGGACGTTTTGTTACCAAATGGATGTGTGATAGGTGTTGAATGTGAAAGGTAAAATTTTCTATCTTATTTTAAAAATAATCTTTAATTTATATTGAATACCATTTATTTATTTTAGTGATATGACATTAGAACAAATAAAACAACATACGTTAATGTGTATAAAACATCAAACACCATTTGTTGAATTATTACATGATAAAAAAAATTATTATCAAGAATCCATAACTTGTGGTGCACAAATAATACCATTATATGAAGAAGAATTAAAACTAAATGAACTTAATTTATTTTATCCATATTTAACTCTCAAAGAGCATGCAGCATTTTTAGATGAAAAAGATGATTTAGCATTAATGAGTGAGTTATAATATTAAAAAAAGATTTGTTGTTTTTTTTTGTATATTTTACATAGTTTATTTTATTTTTTATATTAAAAAAAGGTCTTTTACTCGGTTATCCATTAAATGATTTTTCAAATACATTAGAACGAGAAGCATGTGAAGCACGTTCATTATTAAATCGTTTAGCCGATATGTTAGCACAAGAAACAATAAAAGAACAAAAACGCACAGGTTTACCACAACAAATAAGTTTTTATACAGAAGAAGAAGAACAACGAACAATGATTGAAAATCAAAATCTTTTAAAACAATTTAGTGTAACGTCAGGTATCAAAAAATACTGAAATAATTGTTTATTTTAGTTAATATTTGCAATTACTACACTTAGACATGTTAGTAATATCTAATTAGTATTCAAAAGTTGGGTAGTAATAGTAGATTTTTCAAAAATTATAGGAATTCACTGTAGATCAAACGTTTTTAATTAAAACTTGTTTGAACTGAATGAATATCTTCTCTTTTTTCTTTTTTTTTCTGGATTAGAACTACGAAATGTTTATGTTCAAGTACAAGAACGAAATACTACAGCACCAGTCTGTTTCAATATACAAGCAAATGTTTTTAATTCACCCACAGATGTTGTTGCTAGTGTCATACGTAAGTGATTTTCATATTGTTGTAAAAAGCAGATCAATTTATTAATTACTATCAAAATTATTGTTTATTTTAGAAGCAAAACTAGCATCATCAAATGTAATGATCTCTGATGAAGATCGTTTAAAAACAATAAATGAATATAAAACACGTTATTGGTTACAAGCTTTTGGTAGTGAAGAACGATTATATGGCATAAAACCATTAATACAATCGAAAGTAAGATAAAATTATTGATTTGATTTGATTTATTCAAAAAATTCAAAAAATGTTCTCATAGTATTTTGAAACAATAAATTTACTTTTCATCTATTCATTATAGTATGTTCAAACATGTTTACGTGCTAATCATCCATTATATTTTAAACTGATCAATGTAGAAGTCACGAATGCTCAAACGAAAAAACGTTGTATGTCATTAATCCATGACGCAATAAGAATTGAAGAAGAACGAAAAAAACCTCAAAGTATGTAATAAATAAACAATATATTGACGTTATAATAGCTTTTATCTTTTCTTTCAGAATTTGGTGGACGAAATAATGAGACACGACCAGTTTGGCAAGATAAAGATGTTGCTCAACAACAATTTCGATTATGTATTATGTCTGGACAATTGATTCCGGCTGGAGAATTTGATGAGGTATAAATAACAGTAAAATAGTTTATTTGTATGTCAAATTTTACTTTTAACATTTATTATTAGGCCAAAATAATTATTGGTCTGTATCATGGACAACAACCATTATATCCAGGATCAATTATTGAAAGTAAAATAGTTGATACTAAGTCACCAGAATGGTGTCAATGGATCACATTTGATATAACATTACTCAATTTACCACCAGCTAGTAAACTGTGTTTTTCTATACATTTTCATCGAAGAAGAACGTCATTATTAATATCTGTATAAAAAAAAATAATATATACGGGTGATAATTAGGACTAAAAATTAATTTTTCTATTCGTAGGATGAATGGATTTGTACGGGATGGGCTAATTTAAATGTATTTAATCACAATAGTTGTCTTATACAAGGAAGACAAAAAGTTAGATTTTGGCCAACAGAATCAGATACAGCTAAAAATATCTCACGATATGGATTCAATGAACGTGCATTAGCTGGTACGTGACTTTGTTTCTTTTCGGTTTGATATTTTTCACATTTATTTTCTTTTTAAATGCTATTTCAAGGTATAAATCCTGATCGAGCATATCCCACAATCGAAATTGAATTTCCAACATATAAATACCAAGTTTCAACTCTATCACCTCGAATTGGTTTGGCATTACAAGCACAAACAAAACATGAACAAATGTTAAGAAATTGTGCATTTCAAGATGATGTATGATGTCATAGGAAAGAGTAAATATTATTTCATATTATTTTTGTTTTTAAACTTTTAGTTAGAAGGCAATAGTGATTCACAAAATGCTGATTTCTACGATTGGTTACGTTCAAATGATTTTGAATTAACAGAACAAAGTAAAGAAGAACTATGGGAAAGAAGGTAGATAAATATTCAATTATTTTCATTATTTTGATAAATATCAGACTATATTATTGTTTAGATATGAATGTACTCGTGTACCTGAATCTCTACCAAGATTATTGAAAGCTGTAAAATGGTACAGTTACAATGATGTTCTTGAAATTTATAAATTAATTGAAAATTGGCCAATGAAAAATATTGATCCATTAATAATGGCACTTGAACTATTAGATATTGATTATCCCGATCCATTTGTTCGTTTTTCTGCTGTTCGTCTATTAGATACACGAATTGATGATGAACGTCTTCTGCAAGTCATTTTACAATTAGTACAAGTACGTACACGCACAACGAAAAATTTTCATCTGGCTAATACTAGATAAATCTTTTTTAGGCAATAAAGAATGAGCCTTATCATGACAGTTGTTTGGCACGCTTTTTGTTGAAACGATCTTTGTTTAATCAACAAGTTGGTCATTATTTCTATTGGCATTCGAGGTAGGTTCTTACACCTGTTTTTTCTTTTTGTCTGATAAACACGAGTGTTATGGACCTTTTTTCAGAGCTGAATTAAAGAGTAAACATTTTAAAGTTCGTTTTGGTCTATTAGTTGAAGCTTATACACGTTACTGTGGTGAATATGCCGAAGATCTAGGTAGACAAGTTCGTTCCGTAGATAAATTAGCGTATATAGCTGGAATAATACAAAATACAAACGATGATCTGTCAATGCAGGTAGATTAATAACTTTTTCTTAAACCATTAGCTAACCGTAATTGTATTTTTAGAAAAGTTTTCTCAATAAATTATTTAATGATGAATCATACCAGCATAATCTTGAGTATTTTCGATGTCCTGTTAATTATCATGTTATGCTTGGTCAATTAATGTATGTATATTGAAATTATTAAACTAAGGAGTTGAATCAAATGGCATATATTTACTTTTAGGTTGGACAATTGTCGAATTATGTCCTCTGCTCGTCGTCCATTATGGCTAAAATGGACCAATGGGTCTGAATATGCTGAACATTATTCACCAAGTTTTGATTTAATTTTTAAATATGGTGATGGTACGTCAATAAATTTATGATTAATAAAATGATAAAATAGAATTACTGATATAGTACAATTATTTTAGATTTGAGACAGGATATGTTAGCGTTACAATTCATTCATATGATCGATATGATTTGGAAAGCGAATGGATTAAATTTAAAGTAAGAACTGAGCATACATTTTAATGAATATCTTTATTAATACAAATTTTGTTTTTTAGTCTTATTCCTTATGGATGTTTGGCCACTGGTTTCTGTTCGGGTTTTATTGAAGTAGTTAAAAATGCTAATACCGTAATGAATATACAAAAACTTGGTGGACTAAAAACGCAATTTCAATTTGATGCTAGTGCATTATATCGTTGGATTGACAAACATAATCAAGGAGAAACGCAGTATGTAGAATTAAACGGTATATTAAAGAACAAATCAATAGTGTTTTCTTTATTTTATTAGATTGAAAAGTGCAATTGAACTATTTACACGATCATGTGCAGGATATTGCGTGGCAACGTATGTACTAGGAGTTGCTGATAGACATCCAGTAAGTTTTATTAATCTTAAAAACATTGATATATAATTTATACGATAAATCTATTTTATTAGGATAATATCATGGTCAACGAGCGTGGACAAGTATTTTTCTAAATATCATTAATTATCCTACTATGTTACTAAATCTATTTTTCTTCTTTCATAGCTTTTCCACATTGATTTTGGTCATATACTCGGTCATTTTAAAATGAAATATGGTATTAAACGTGAACGAACACAGCTTGTATTAATCGAAGATTTTGTACGTGTTATCACCGGTGGTACAGATAAAAATCCAACAGAAACAAAAGAATTTCAAGAGTATGATTAAAGAATGTTTTTTAGTTTTAGTCTAACTATAATTAGATAATTATTATTTTGTTCTTTTTGAGGTTTAAAAAATTGTGTACAAATGCGTATCGTATACTTCGTCGTCATTATCGTCAAATAATATGTTTATTTAAATTAATGATGAATTGTGATATACCAGAATTGAATAGTGAATCTGACATTGAATATTTGAGACAAACATTTGCAATTGATAACTTAAATGAAGAAGAAGCTTGTGAAAGATTTCAACAAGTTTTAATTGATTCTTATAAGTCAAGTTTGACGAGACGTGTTGATTGGGCATTTCATGCCGTTAAACATTGGTGATTTTATGTGTAATTTTAATTTGCAACGTTTTTTGCTCAATTTTTTGCACTTTCATGTATAGTTAGTTTTAATTGTATATAGACAGACGAGAAATAATCATAATTTGTTACCATTCACTCTCAATTTGATTACTCATTCCTTGTCTTATTTTTTTGTCATATTTTTGTTGTAGATTTATATTTGTGAGTCAATTAATGTTCGTTTTGATATTACATTTCTTTCTTTTTCTAAGTCAATAGACAAACGATTTAGCATATTTTTCATTTCATTTTTGGATCTCACGCGCTTTTTTCTTCTGATAAGAAATTTTTTCTATTTTTGTAACAGTGATTTAATACAAAGAAAGACAATGCTTTTATGTTTATTCAATTCGGTCAATTTTGTACTTTTGCAAGTTTCAGCATAGCTGCTATTTTCCTTTCATTTGTCATTCCTTTCTTTTTATTGAGAAGAAAATCATAACTAAATTGTATATATAAAAATCAAATTTTTTCTAAATATCTTTCTTTCGGAAAAAGTCAACATATTTTATATACTACAGGACGTTGTTTTGATGACGGAGAAACGTTTTTGATAAAAAAGTTGTTTTCAAATGAACAACTTTTAATCTGATATGTGAATGTTGTAGAGTATGCCAGGTTATTCATAGAAAACAATTCTTCACTGTAACGATCAAGTTCTTAGCCAGATATAATATATTTACTATACTAAGAGATCCACTTAGATACATACACTGTATACTATGTGTACACTGTGAAATATGACTATCTTTACGCAGTGAAGAAGATAATTACCCATTTGGGAAACCCAAAAGCTAGAAATGACAGATCATAAATAATCCATTACAGATGTTTCAGAAGAAACAATAATGCAAATCAGAAGGAAAAAAGTATTTTGTACGTAAAGGATATCTATTTGACTGAACCTCTAGTGCTATGTAAATAGGACTTAAATCTTCTGCTATTGAAACCAATAGAGAAGTAGTTTTATCATTTAATGAGAATACGAAGAGAATAAAAAGTGACTTCTTGTGATTCACTTGCTTGCTAAAACATTCACGTAACGTGATATTAAGTAAAAAGTATCATATATTCAGAGATATTAGTTTAAATTCTCTCCATGGTTTATCCGTGTAATTGTAACTGCATGATAAAGTTGGAGTTGTATGAACTGTTCTCCGCAACGGTTATTATCAATGGATAAATACAATCATTGTGTAGAATAAGACAGTTAATGAAACGGGTTTTGTTCCATCAATAATGGATGATTTGGATACGAACATTAACAGTTTAATACAAAAAATATTCAACAAAAACTACAATTAATTAAAGAGAATTTTTTGTATAATTACGGAAAAAAATGAACAAATGTAATTTCTTAGTCTTGTTCACGCGTAAGGTATTGAGTTTGTGATTGATTCATCCATCTTACCATTAAAATTGTCATGTTTTAATCATATATTTTTTTAAATCTATCGAATCTCTTTTATATTTCTGATACAGGATATAATGTTAAAATATTTCACTTTATTTCTAATGATGTTATCGTATAATCTAACTACACATAGTAAGTACAAGTTTTCTCATTTTGTTTTTCTTCCAATAAAATAAACACCCTGTTCTTTACACACTGACTTTTGTTGTCTAAGAGTTTTATTATAATTTATAAATAATGTTTCAAATTGATTTAAAAATATATCAATAACAAATTTTGTTATTCTTATAGGATGCAATCTTTCTGCATCTTCTAGTACACAATCACCATCTCGTGGATGATCAAACCATCTTTCATGAAATATAACTAGTCCATTTATTTCAATTAAATTATAAATTGCATGAAAATATTCTATAGCATCTTGAACATGTTCAACAACATTTATTGCAACAACAATCGAATATAATTTATGATTTGTAGTCGATAATTTTCGTTGTTTTTCCATAAAACTCTCAATTGAATCGGATATAATTTCTATTGAATGCCCTTTTAAATGTCCACCTTTGTATTTACAATTATTCAATTTCATATAAGAAATAGCATTTGGTTCTAAAATAGTTATCGAATTAATATGTCGAAATGGAGTGATCAAATATTGTATTTGTGTAAATGGTCCAGCTCCGATCTCTAGAATTGATTCGATCTGTGATGGTATAATTGAGTAACCATAAAATGCATGTGCATGCTCCATTAGACGATCTTCTACAATATCTGGATTATTCTTCCAATACTCAAATTCATTCCTCAAAGAATTAGTCCAAAATAATTTTGGCACTCTGACAACACCTGTTCTACGATGATAAAAGCATAAAAATACGCAAGATGATGGCCATTCATGTATAAATCTTGATTTTGAACATTCTTCTTTAATTTTTTCCACTAAATCATATGTCCACTCATCCATTGAAATATTTTTCAGACAATAACGAAACTTCTGAAAAAATGATTTTTAATAAATATTAGAATTACTATTCAAAGTTATCAGTTTTATGTTTTTTACCTTTTTATAATCTGTAATTGGTTTTTCACAACAATTTCCATCATAACCTGCATCACAAATAACGGTATCAAAATAACATTCACCATGTTTTTTTAAACATGAACAGTTATTCAAAAATATTGTATTTTCATTGATTAATATTTCTGTTTTATTAGTTCCAAAGAAAATGATAATGTAGATAAAATATATTAAAACTAGAAAAATAGTAAGAAAAACGGAAGCTTGCCGTTTAACTGATCGAAAACGTTTATATTTATTGGTAAACATTTATAGTTAAATATATCATTTTGTATCTTAATAATTAGTTTTTTTCTTTTTTCTTTTGTTCAAGTTTAATATGAAATATTTCTTTTTTCTTTTTTTATGGGATAAAATTTAATCATTTCATGTTGCGCTCTTCAAACAAATAAGAATATTCATCAAATATAAATGTTCGCCAATAAGACATAAACATTAAACAGAATTTTATTTCAAATAAATATAAGTATTTCCGACTAAAACTATGAACATAAAGGAAAATCTCAACTGCACTATTTAAACTGCTGAAAGTCAAGTTATGCTCTCATACGTAAACATCTTTTAGTAAAATCATTTTTGATCAACACTCATTTCAAAAAAACTTAGTAGACTATATAGAAAACTTGAACTTTTTTCCATTTGAAAGCAATCAATCGTAGAAAAAAATAGAAATATATTTCATATATCGGAGAAAAAATAGGTACAGCCCAACCACTTTTTCGAGAGATATTTCGGGTACCCGAAAATATGATCTCTCTTCTTGTTATGTTAGAGGGATCGAAAGTTGGCTATTTTTCAAAGTAGAACCTTCAAAAAAAGACTGGTTTTGACCAGAAAAATTCAGTTTTTCCATTCTATACTTTAGGCACGAGTTAATCTCGCTCTTTTACGAGACTTTGTATAAGATAAGAGGTTTATGTCTACTCATTTTTTATTAATTTTAATTTTTCACTATTATTGAATTGTTATTTTACTGCTATCGGAAAATTAATAATGATTTATTATTCACAGACTTTTCTCATTTTCTACCAAGATTCTTCTTATTCTTCACTATACTTGATGGTATGTAGACTGATGCATATTATGACTCAGTTTATGTATTTTGTATATATGTTACCTTGACTGAATTCATTGAATGAGTATTTTAAATTCAGAAACGCTTTGTCGTTTTCGGTTTTTGGAAGGAATCCGTTGTTTTTGAAATAAATACATTTAACATTTCACAGCGATGCCATCTTTTTCAGAATAATGTATTTATTTCAAAAATGAATTTCTTAGAAAAACCGAAAACGACAAAGAGTTTCTAATTAAAATCTCTATTTAATTTAAAATATTAAATACTATCAAATTATTGATGCTTTTCTTGTAATATTTGTTTATTTTTTTTTGTTCTGTTGTTTTCTTTATAAAAGTTATATTGATAATAGTAAGGCTATTGTAATAAAAATATAAAAGCCTTTATACTTCGATTTGTTTGTAAATTGAATCTCGCAAAAATATCTGTGCTCAAGCCTCTAAGATTACATTTGAACTCGTTACGTTATACAAGTGTAAATAATGAACCGATATTAGAACCGATAAATATTCTTCGCATTTTGCCTTATGACAATCCTCAGGATATTCTTTGGCGTATGTACTCTAAGGATCGTCGATTCAACACTCCTAGGGGAACTTCTTGTAATTAATATTTGACTTCTTGAATTTTTAGTAAAATGTTGAATCAAGATCATGGTAAGTAAGTATAAGAATTCAAGATCTTCACCATCTTGTAATTTCTTGACTTTTTGCAGAAAGATCTTGAAAATTCTTGAATCAACGGTTTGTTTTACACTCTTGTGTAAATATAAGTGCAAATATTTTTACACTCAAAATAACTTAGAATTTTTTCCGTTGTTGAACATAGTTATTTAAGGAAGAACGTATGACTCTTTGTCATCGTATACCCGATGGCTATGATGTTTTTATTTATGACAGTCCTGTCATAAATAAAAACAAAATGTAAAGAAAATGTTTCACTCAAACTCTCAGAACATCTTGAGTGGATTTACTTAAACTCTTAAAATTTCTGTTCCCAAGATCTTGAGTGGAATAAGCCAAAATCCAATATTATCCAACAGCATTATCAAAATCCAATTTTAGTTCTAATCTTTGCTTCTGGAAAGCTAAAACATTAAGCATAAAAGAAAGCACAATTAATTTTAAACATTCGCGAAGAAAAAACGACTTAATAAGTCGTCAGGACACGCAAACTGACGGTTTGTATTAAGCGTCAAATTTTTTTCTCAGTCGCAGCTGACTCATGAGATATGATGTTTTTTCTGTCAGGTTCTTGGACTTGTTTTTTAAAGAATGATTCACAACCTGACGGTTAAACCATAGGGGTTTTTTATCCAGTATTGTCTACCGACGGGTGAAGTATGCAACGAAAAATGTGACATCATTTTCTATTCATTGCGTTGGTCAATTCCAACTAATGAAAAGCGATGTCTCGAAAAATCTTATTCACTCATACGAAAAAACCATTAAGAAAACGAACATCACTAAAAAATCTATGAAAATTAAGGATGCCTGTTTATTCTATTAGTTTATCACTGTTTACACATATGCACAATTTGTTAAACGTCTTTTAATATTACGCTGAGAAAGTATTGTGTGTAAAATGATGTGAATACCTTTTGCGGTATTCGCAATGCGAGTAGATTATACTAAGCTGGATATGAAAGTTAGACGTAAGACGATACAATTAACTTTAATTCATTTTTCTAGTGATTTAAACTTGACTTACACTTCTATCGTACCCTGATCATCATCTCTGTATATTTGGAAAAATAGGATACTTATATTCCGGAACGAATGTTGAAAGTTTAACTGTGATGTTTTAGACGTTCAATGAGTCTTTTGTTGGAAGGATTATCTCGCTTATTCATTGTTGTGTTACTGAGGGCTTTATTTATGCGCTCTCAATTTTATCCAATATAATGGATAAAAAAATCTCGCAAATCAGATTGATTACTTTAATATTTATTATGTAAATTAAGCTGTTTTTCTTTTTTAGATAAGAAAAACTTTTACAATGGAGCAATCACCATGCCGCTTTTACCTGCAAGGATATTGCAAGTTCGGTAATCAGTGTCGAATGAGTCATTTAATTCCTCCTAAACGGACATATAGTAAGAATTTTTGATTATTTTAGTGTTTTTAAAATTCTAACTTTTGAACGTATTTTGCATATTCAGATGAAATCGAATATTGAAACACGATTCTGTTTTGTGTTTAGATCCTCAGAGGCAAAATTCACGCCCACGATTTGATCCAAGATACAGTTATATTTCACCTTCAATTGTAAGTCAATAAATGGTCGTCTAATTATGCAAAACAAGATCTAAGAAATGGCTTAGATATTATTATTCTGATACTATTTATATATGATACCCTCTGCACATACGAACATCCAACATTTCATATAATAAGATACTCATTATTTAGCTCTCATGGAACATGTATATTATTCATATCTGCATCGAAGAAAAGTTTTTCAATAATAACAATCTATTATTCATTTTGATACTTATGCATGTTTCTGCTAATTTCAATTTTGACTATATTCCAACATAAAAGTGTATCTCTTTACAAGCAAATATCTTACTCCTCTTATTATTAGACAAATTGTTATCATCGCAAACAACTGCATACTCAAAATGATTCTTCACAACAACAACAACAACAACATATTAATAAAAATGAACATATGTTATCGGATTTTACATCATATAAAGAGACAGCACAAAATAACAGACAAGGTAATCTTTACAACTTTAGATGAATGTATAATAACAGTATTTGAAACTGCCTGTATCTTATCATAAGCTTTGGGTTAATAGCTAGAAAAATATATACTGGGGATAGGGGGGCCAGTTTCTTAAAAAACTTCAGCAAAGCTTAAAAACAACTTACTTACTTACCGAAAAAGTCGTCTTAAGTCAAAATTATTAGCTAAGTGTGTTTCTCAACTCACCTCTTGATCTCACGTAAGTTTTCACTTAAACTGTTAAGTAGAAAATTGTTTAAATTTTGTAACTTCTTTATTTGAAGTCCGTAACCTATCCAACTCACCATAATTAGATTGTACATGACTTTTCAGAGATTTTGTTTAGAAAATTGCTGTAAAATAATCTAAGTTCTCTAAAATACGAATGGTTTGTACTGCCTGACTTAAGTTTTTTTTAGAAACGCACCCTTGAACTCTAGTGTCTTTACTTAAGAAATAACGTTTGTTATTAGAAAGCTATGAATAAATACAAATAAAAACTAACTAATATTGCTTACTTTTTTAGATCAATTAATTCCAGAACATGTCTTTTCATGGGTGAACAAAAATTTTGTTGAAAAAGAAAAGGCTTTACTAATACTGTATGTTAATTGTTATCTATCATAATTTCTATCAATGTGTTTTCGGTTTTTATTTCTAAGAAATGAATTAAAAAATGAATCGTATGAATGTCAAAAGTCAAATGTATTTTGGCGTTTTTCGACCACATCTTTGCATCCTTTTGGACAATCTATACCAGGTAAGAAATATTTTGTCCGTTTAAAGATGTGCTAATTTAACATCTCAAATATTCTATTCTAGGCATGATTGATCAATCATTTGAAGAAGTTAGATGGGCATTTGTAATTTGTCAAAACAAAGATCGAATACATTTCTATGTAAGTCACACGGAAACTGAAAATTTGTCAAATATTTTATGTATATATAGATCTTTTATCAGTAAATTGTACTCCATTTTCTTTGGTATTTTTCAAGAAAATCACGTGAGAATCCTTTGTCAATTCCTGTTATATTCATATTTCTAAGAGATCGCGAGAAAGTAAAATATTAATGATAGAGCTCTAGTAAAACTTTTGTTGTTTCTTTCTTTTTAGGAAGCTGATTATACTAAGTACTGGGAAGATGCCGAAAAACGTCTGTTGCAATTGTCACAATTAGATCAAACGATTTTGGACGAAATTGTAGGTTAAAATCACTCCTATCTGCAAAGTCTCTATAATTTTCTTTTATCTTTCTAGAAACCGTTGATCAATGCTTATTTAACGAAAATTTAGTAGACAATTATTATGTTGTCTTCTACATCCAGAAGATCAACTATGATAAAAAGATTTGATGTGACTATTAGTGAAATATTTTCATTAAGGACATACCTGATCTGTTCCGCCGTCACAGAATCTTGTAATAACAAAAAATAAACTAAACGGCTTTTTCTCAATTAATTAGTTTATCTTTCATCCTCTTTAACTATGTACGTTGTTTGTTTTAACTTTTGTATTAAACATTATTTTCTTCTATCATCAAGTCTTTCCAATATGCGTTTTTCTTTGTTAAAAACTATTTGGTTATTTTTTTTGACCTGAACTTGGTGTTTTGCTTTTTCTTCTGAATATACGTACGGCGTTTCTTCAGAAATAAGGTATGATTTATTGAAAATCAATGGATGTATGAATCTGTCTAGTCTAGTATAGACTTCTAGATGGCGAAATGAGAAAATATATCGAAAATCAGTTATAAAATTGTAAACTTTTGAACAAAGTGGGTTCTCGGTTAAAAAGGATAAAGCGGTTAAAAGACTAATTAGCAATACAAGAAAGGTTTCTTTCCAATCAATCGTTATTCTAAATTTGATTATTTGAGAATGCATCGGAACACACCTCACCCTAATCAAAAAAGTTTATTTCGTCAAATGTGATTGAAGAATCTGACTATTCATATTTAAAAAACCAAGAAACAGATACTCGATTCCTATGACGAGGTATTTTTGTTTACACTGAAAACATCATAACTATTTCATTTACACTTTCTGGTGGAATTTACGTCCCAACACATTCTAAAATAGTAGCAGTTTACACCATATACGATTAAATTTTCCGTAATGGTTGCTTGATCCTCTGACATTTATTTTTGGGATCAGGAAAGAAAGGTAGATGATTATACACTGACAATACAGCAACAAAAAAAAACCAACAACATCTGCAAACATTTAATGCGAGCGCTATGCGAATGATATAGATACAAGGAAAGCAAAAAATTGATATTTTTCTTATTTATCTTCAATACAAAACAACGATTATCTTTGATTAGTAAAGAAAAAAAGAATGCATGAAGATATAGAGAGGGATAATGCATAATTACAGATATAATTTTGTGGAGACAAGATAACAAAGTATACGTAGATTAGTTGAAGTGATATGAAATAAATTAGTAAAAAAAAAAAATGACTGACAACAATATAGTTTCAATAAAAGTTAGATAAAAATAACCGTGATACTTGCTTCATTTTACGGAAAACGATCGAGTGATTCGTGTTTAATTTGACAAAAAAAAAAAAAATGACATGAATCAAATCTATTTTTCAGAAGTGAATTTTTCAACAGATGATGATGGTGAAGTTGATTTTTTCAAAAAACCACGTGATACTAGGAAATTAAAATTATCTTCTAATGAATTGTCGTCTTCTACAGGTAATGATTGTTTTATTTCAAGATCCATTGGTTCCTGTTGTTGTTGTTGTGAGGGGGGTGGTGGCGGTAATAATAAAGTTGTTTTACAATTTTCTACTGTTTCTGTATCTTGGAGCATTCTGTTACGATCTGGGGTACTGCTTGAAACAGGCTCCATTGGACTAATGGGCGTTTGATCATCTTCATTGGTACTGTTATTATGTTTATTAATATTGTCAAAATTAGCCCAATTTGGCGTACTTGTTGATGATAAACCATTTATTAAATTAAGTTCAGGTGTAGACATATTACTGAATACTTCTTTCATATTATTTCCTCGCGATGGATTTTCAGTTGGTGTTGATAAAAAATATTTATCATCCTCATCATCAGATATTGTTAATGTTTTCCTCGTTGATGTTGTTGTTGGAATTTGATGATTATTTTTATTTTTATTTTTATGTTTACGTTGTTTTTTCTGTTGTGTTATTAAATTTTTATTACCACTATTATTTTCATCGGAAGAAGACGAAGAGGAACTTGAATTTGATTGAGTTTGTTTTTCATTATCATCACTATTATCTGAATGTTGAATTATCATCGAACGATCGGTAAATGATATAGGACGTTCTTTCCAAATGTCATCATTCGCACTGGTACCCTTCAATAAAAAGACAAAAAATATATATTAGATTAAATATTAGGATCAACATTTAGTTTTTCACAAAAATTTCAGTCACTTACTTTAAAATTAACGTTTTTTTTTTTTAAAATATACGTCCAGGGATTTCGGTGATGTAATAACGTTATCTTTATTTTACTACTACATATCTTTTACATATTTTACTGATGTTGTCATGCTAGTAAAATCTACGATATGCTTGTCGAATGAAAGCCTTTTATACAAACAACTAATCAACCAGGTTATTTTGTAAACAGTCAGTCTTATGTTTTATACACTATCATGAATGGCCTTACATTAGTTTTTCATTTACAAGCCACGGAAGACAAGTTTGTTTGTTTCTAAATTGGATCAATGTCCTGAAATATGAAATGATATAAAATCTTTATCAATTAAACCAACAGTATAATAAATTAGTCCAGTTGTTAATACATTAAGCATAAATAAAAATAAATGCCATTACCATTGATACTAATGAGCAGTCAAATCATTGCTCTATAAGTCATTTTGATAACAGAAATGCGCTTATGAGCTCATGTAATTTATTATACAGTGGACAAAAACAAAACACACACGTATAGAATTACATTAAAACAATATTACAAAAAAAAAAAATAGTAATAATAATTTTATCAGTTACGTAAACAAAACAAAAAAAAATGGCATAAATATATATTTTGATTTGCATACGCAATGGAATTATGAAGAAAAAAAAAAAAGCAAAATAAGAAATAAATAATATAAAACGGCAGTAGCAGCAACAACAGTGCTTTCCGTTTTCTAAGTATAGTCTAATGTGTACATGCTCTTCTTCTATGGATTAAAATATCGAGAGTTGTTTTTTGTACGTTTATATATAATTTTCAAAAACTCATATTTATTATGGAGGCGAATTGTCATGGCTCTAAGTTCTTATGTATATTTTGAAATAAAAAAAACTTACAAAATGGAACGTGAGACATAGCTAAATATACTACTGTAGAATAAGTAGAAAATTTTATAAATTCAGATGTCATTTTGATTGTGCACTATGTCCACGAATCATAAAAAGTATTATTTAACTTTCTCACAGTGTATGGCTAACTAAAAAAGCATGTTTGATTTAATAATCACCTACCTCATCATTAATTGTATTTATATTAAATGGTCCCAAATCGTTTGCTCTTAATGAGCATAATTGTTCAAAACTAAGTTCGGCCGATGATTTTTGTATATTTAAATTTTGTCGATGATTTTCTAATAGATCAGGTAAAATTGGTTTATTATTTTGAGATGATAAATCATTTTTAGATTTTGTACTATCATCAGATTGATCCCATAATGATTGTTCATTAAACGATGTGGTTGGAAATTGTGCAACGAACGTTGTTTTTTTCATTTGATCAACTTTACGTTCATTTGCTATTGAATCAGATTGATTATTTGGAATATCATCATCTTCAATTTCAAAACGTTCTACTTCATCATCATCATCATCTTCATCTAAATAACTGGGACCACTTGATCCAAAACAACGATTATTATAGTTATGACGTCTTGATAGACTATTTGTTTCATCTGAACCAAATAAACCACTGGTACTATTATTCATATTTGAACGATTATCTGGATTACTTGATGACCATTTTTTTTCATCTAAATTTAATCGTTCAACAGTTGTTTGCCATTTTGATTCAAGCATATTATCTTCTATTTGTTCATCGTCTTCTTTTTTATCATTATCGATCTTTCTCAAATATAATTGATAATTATCAAAGAATGATGCATGATCACGTAGACAACGCAAAATTGTTGAAATATGACCGGAATTAGGTGAACAAAAATTAGTACAAATTGATGATGACGATGTTTGTTGTCCACTAGCGAGTTTTAATGATGATAAATAAATCATCTCATATTGATCAAGTAAACGTTCAAATAAATTTGAATCGTTCATTAATGATTGAAATAAAGTATAGATTCCTCGATTTTTAAGATGGAATGTAGAAGAGGAATTATTATTATCGGATATGGTTAAAACATTGTATGATACATTTGGTTGATCGTCTGAAGAAGAAAAAAAATGAAAATAGAGATAAATCGTCAACTTAATAATTTTCAGGTAGTATAGTTAATGAACAAGCCTCGGATACACTTCTGAATTTTTCAATTCTCTTTTAACTCGATCTTTACTATGAATGCCGACCTGTTATTGATATTTCTATATCTGATGTTGTTGAATGACGTTTATGTTGAGGTGATGATGAACTGGCTGGAGAAAACGATTCGTTTACTGTTGATTTATCAATTGTTGAATTTTGATCATGTTGTGATGGCAATGGTGTTCGTGTCCATATTTTGCTTGGATTATTCATGGAATATATAACATCATGAAATAGTAATCGAATAATAGAATAAACTTGAGTATGTAAAAAATTGTTATAAGTATAATGAAAAAAGAGATCGCAAAGAATCTTTGGTAACTGACAATCATTAAATATTTTGTAAATATAGTCACCGGCATAATCATTTGAAATTGTATATAACAACTTAGAAAAAAATTTGATCAAATTCAAACGTAATGAGCCTAATAAGAAAAGAAAATACGCAGTTAATCTTCTTGTTAACAAATGGAGTACTGTCTAAAATAAGTTTTATTTTTACATCTCAAGAATCATAACGTTTTTGTGGTCAAATTTCTTACTAAATACTGATCACTCAGTAAGTTTAAGTCTTTTTGAGTGAATCGTTCTCGAGATAGAAGTATTTTATTTCTTTTCAATAAAATGATAATTATCCTTGATTCAAAGAGTATGAACACTATTTGATTTTCCAAAATATAGGAATGGTTGTCCTCTATCAAGGATATAGATTTAAGATATTAACTCTTAATGTTTATTGAATTACAACGATTTTATGCTCAACGGTCACTTTTGATATTTAACTTTTGATTAACTTTTGATAGTTTACAATTTCGTCTAGAAATATTATTTTACTTCAAACATTTCAAATAAATAATTTTCTTATTAGATTATTAGACTATTTATCCAGAGTTTGGAGGTTAATTACGTCATGAATATATCGTTCTGTCCAACATATCTTCTGCGAAAGAAAGTTGGTGAAAGATTGTCAGAAAGTTTTGATACGTCGAATTACGCCCTTACACCTGAAGACACTTTTATTATAGCTTCAACTGGAAGGACTACTACACTGAAATACAAAATTTTTCTTTTATTTCAGTCAAACGTTAAGTTATTTATTGTCTTACATTAGAAAAAAAAGATTTGTTGGGCTGTTGATCCATTCTTTTTATAAACCTATCACATCGATGTCCCTTGGAAGGGATCGGTGGGTGTATTTGTACAAGGCGAAACAGAGTAGAAATTGAATGAAAGATTATTATCATTTTATTGAAAAGAAATAAATACTTCTATCTCAAGAACGATTCAATCACACAGACTTGAACTTACTGGGTGATCAGTATTTAGTAAGAAATTTGACCACAAAAAAGTTATCATGATTCTTGAGATCTAGAAATAAAATTCATTTTGACCAAGAGTGTAATAAAATCCAGAGCTTACCCAACGGTTGAGTGAGAAACTGACAACTGAGTGGTTGATTTTTCTGACTTTCTAGCTGTTTTATTAACGATGGACAAGGTACATTTAATAAATTAATTAGCGGTGGTAAACGAGTTGATAGTACACTCAAAAACGTGATATAGGCACGCACTAATGGATCGTTTTGAAGTGCTGATGGTGAAGATGGTTGTTGTTGTTGCTGCTGCTGCGATGAAATCAAATTCGTCTGGCTCGTCCTTGTTGTCTGTTTACTGGAAGTTAACGTATCATCTTCATCGTTAATCTAAAGAGAGAAACGTTTATAAACAATAATAATTCAAAAAAGGCATGACATTTTGAACATACTTGCATCCGATTGTTATTATCGCTGTTTTTTTCATTAAATACATCATCTTCTTCATCCTCTTCGCCATTGGTTCCTTTTGTTATTTGATCGTCATTTGTTGTTGTTGACGTTTGAAATGGTTGTGTATTATTTAGTGTTGCTGATGTATTTGTATTGATGGGACTTGTTGAATTATTCAATGATATACATACTGGTGCTGGCATATGTCTGGATAGCAATTCCAAAGTTGTGGCAAAAAAGTCACATGCATTTATTAATAAACTAGGTTTTTTATTTTGGTATTCAACCATGGTATCAAATATACGTTCTAAATTTGTTTTGGATATAATTCGTTGACTAAGTACAATAGGAAGAAGTTTTGTTAATGAGGATGGCGTTGATGGGTGTGAACGTGATTGACTATCATTATGTTCATCAGGATAAGACGAATTAGGTAGACGAGGTGACCTATCATTTGACTGAAGTCCTAAAATGACAGCAGAATATATTTGTATAAGAAATTTTCGATTACGATAAAGACATCAAAAGATCTATCGAGTGACTACCTTCATTTTGCATCATCATCATCATCATCCCGTTCTCACTCATTAAAATATTCGGATTGTTGTTATTGGTAACAATGCCATCATCAAAAGTTGTTTGATCAATTCCAAATCGAATAAAATCGCTTAATAAATTAACAGCATTTACATGTACAGACGATGAATTTGATTGTAAAAACTGTTCTATTATCGAATCGATCATATTTATTTGCTCATACCATTGAATAGCATCTGAACGATATTCACCACTATCCGATATTAAACGATAAAGAATATCCATAATTGATGTTGTATCCAAATGCTTTAAAATATCATCTTTAAATGTTTCTTTTGATTTTAGATATTCTAGTATTTCTTGTGGACGTCGAATTATTAATGTAATCATTATTCGTGAAAAATAACTAGCTAATATTGGATTCAATAACGGTTCATTATTTTCTTGTTTCGTCTCATTTAATGTTAAAAATGTATATAAAGTATCTAAATTTGTTTGTTCTAATAATGTATCTTGTATACGTTGAAAATCACCCGATAATAATTCACTGACAACATGAGAATAACGAAAACGTTTACGTTCATTAATTTCTTCCGATGGTAAATGAATAATATATTGTAATAATTCATTCATAACAGTCGATTGTGTTAAATAATCGATTAAACGTTTATTTTGTGACAAACATTCTTGAATTAAATCATTTTCATCTAATAAATCTTGTAATTTTAAATTTTCAAAATCATCCAATAATTTATCGATTGAAGATGTGACAATATGACATTCCCAAAACATGATTGTAGAAAAGTTTTCAAAAAAAAAATGATGAAAATTGCAGAAATGCTAAATAAATAAATTGATAAAATCAACTAGCGTTCTTTAAAATCTATTGAATGGTTAATGCAACGAATGAACATAATTATTCAATAAAAATAAGCAACCTATTTTTGTCATATCTGAATAAATGGAGAGAAAATATCGTATTGAGAGATAGAGAAAGAATCCTTCGTAATACTGACTGTCATTTAATTAGCATGAGTTTGTTTTTTGGGGAACAAAACTGTCGCAGTACAACAAGTTTATCTTTCATAATATTTTCTTCTGCACGTCTTGTCTTTTAGTGACAAAGATTTGACATGTACTCGTTTTTCTATACACACTAATATAAAATGAAATGTTTCACTGAAAAATTATTAAGGTTACTAAAGGCAACAAGTAGTTCTAGCACAATAAGAATTTGATATTCATAACGTTTAAAGGAAAAGGGAGGACTTCTTTCAGTAATTACATCATCTTTTCTACTTCTAAATCAAAAAATGTCTATCAGAAGTGTATTTTTCTTCACCTTCTAGCGTTCTATTTATTTTAATTATTTATGCTTATTATAAACCTCAAACTACCTGACAAAATAATTCATACGTTTAGGCGAATCATCTCTCAACGCAATATTTGTACTTTTCTCTTTTACACTGGTTCGTAGGACTTCCACAACATGTGTCCACTATAATCTTAATGAAGATTTCTTACAAGATATTTTCAATATTCTAAATCTTTTCAAGCAAAAAGAAAAATGTGTAGAAAAAAATTACACAAACATACGGATGCTGAAGAAAATAAGAAAAAAAAAAACACTGTGAATTTAATTTCTTCGTTCTTCCATATACGTGAACATAACAAACCAAAGTTGACATTAGTAATATGTGTATCAATCCACTTACGTTTGATTTCAACTTTATTGGTTTGCGTGGATACATTCGTCATAAAAACGAACAAAATATAAGGGAAAGAAAGATCAAACTTATCAGTAATACTTTGACTTAATAATCTACTGCCATCACACGCATTTATAAGACAAAAATTAGTTATCGTAAAACCTATTTGAATGATGAAATTGTTATTTTCATTTTGTCTATTACTTTTAATTACTGTTTCATATATCAATGGTAAAATATTAAACAAATACAGTTTGGTAAGATAAAAACAAATAACTCTAATTGTTTCTCCAGAGGAAAGGCTAATGATCTGTTTTCTATTATTTTCTCAGAATAGCTAGTTTAATTCTTTGCACTTTCTTTCTGTTATAATAGAATGACAATGGACTACTTTATCTACGTCGTGGTTTGTTATTGCACAAAAGAGTCAGTGTTATACATTTTCATGAGCGATTTTTTAATTGTGTTCGTTAGTTTTGTTTTGTAGGCAGGTTCAGATAGTTTAAACATAATGCGTGATCAATGTACGAAGAACCCTTATGCCGAAGAATGCTCACGAATCAAAACGC